TGCGCCTTTCTTCCCGTAGCTTCTGAAATCTCCCTGTCAGAGAAGGAAGCCGTCCTCCGTGTCTTCCAGCTTCCCAACAGTAAGCGCTGAGTTTGGATCTGTAGTACGAGCAGACTCCAAACCGAGCTGTCATTGGCAGGCTCCAATAGGATTTCAGCCAGCCCCCTTTTTCCTGATTGTTCCGCCCAAGTCTGACCGCGCCATCGTTCGGTGGATGGATGAACTGCAAATACGTAATGGCTTCAAAAAGCCTGCTGTAAAGAACATCCTGCTTTCTCTGATGGTTTCTGGTGCAGAAGAAGGTGCGTCAGGTTACAGTAGTTTTCTTTGAAAAGTCTGTCTGTTATCGACAAACACAAAAAGATAAAAACTTTTCTGGAGTGCTTCCCCTCCATTACTATTGTTATTTTTTACTTTGAGAAGATACATTTAGAGCTTGCTGTCTATAGGCCCACATAACTTCCTCCTCTGGCTCTAAAAATGGCATACACTGTTTGAAAAATTACATAATATCTTTGCTTACACAATAAGTATGATGTAAAAGCTTCAAATTGAGAGAAGAGACTTGTTTAGAATAGATTAGGTGGAAACTGGTGCAGCTCGGTCCCGGTACCGCGTCGGTGCCGTGCTCTTTTCATTGACAATAGCTCTCATGAAGGTCCTTGTAATCTGCTAAAACATAATTCATCCCATCCACTCGCATCACTTCTCTGCTTCATTCACTGCCGAGTGGATTTTGCTCTTGGCCAGCTTTGGTTACTATTGGCAACTGGAGGGCACACAACCGCCTTTCTTTTGTGGATCTGATAAATGTTTGATTGAAATTCAGATGAAGAAGGCATCTTATAGAGACAAAAATGATAAAATAAGGAATGGAAGGATGAGATGTCTTATGATTTGCGGCCTGTTTTTGATGGATGTGTCATCTAGATGAGTAAATGCATCATGTCAAATTCCTTATTCATCACACCAAGATGCCCATGCCTATCTGGAAACTCTTTGTTGTGAATTGCATCAGGTTCTGTGATTGCTTATGGGTTTTTTATTACTTTAACTGGAGCGGTTTTTCAACCTCCTGCCTTTTTCTGCAAAAAGGAAAACTACAGCTTTCATTCATGTCTGATTGCCCACGCACTGAAAAAGAAGCCAGGGAAATAGATAACACGTTGATTACCTTTTCCCTTCAGTCCTTTTATTTCCCACGAAGCCGCGGCTTGTTTTAATTTAAGCAAAAATTTAGTCATCGTACTCAAGCATGTATGTGGTTTTCAAAATGCAAACCAATCCCAAAGATCGTATTAACCTTTCCCCTTGTCTCCATGATGGATAAGCAGCTGCAAGCAACTCTCCTGGTGCCTCATAATGTTTTGCTGGTGTTGTTTATTGTCTAGCACATCCACTGTCATGTGAAACTCTCCTCCTTTTCAGCCGAGCATCTGAGAGGTAGCTTCATATTCCTCCTCTCTTGTTCCCTCATCCCCACCAAGGATAGCAGCAGACTGTTGTCGGATTTTTTATAGCTCCTCCTTTATGATCCGATGGATTCTGGGATTTAAGTGGGAGCCAGCAGTGAGAGCTGGAGGTTTAAAAAAAGGTGACTTATGAAAAGAAAGAATAGTGAAGCGCTTTAAGAAAGATGACAAGTTGTGGAAAGAGGGCTTATAACGATGAAAAACTCTTCTTTACTTCGGCTTTATGAAAAGTCTTCTGTTTTGGATGTGACTCAGAGATCAGAACAGCTCCAGGGGTTCCCTGCCCCACCTTAAACTAAAGAAATAGAGCATCAACGGAAAAATGACTCAATCTAACTTAGAGGCATGCACACCAAAGCACAACCCCATTCAGAAGTGACACAGCTAGAATGTACTTGTTGATGGGCTGTCCAACAGGGAGAGCAGCAGAGTTGTGGAGGACAGATGCAGAAAGCTTGCTGGTCTGATAAACTGCGGCAGAGGCAGTGCTGTTCATTTGCCCCCTTTTCAGGAACGGTTGAAACCGCATTGACAGAAAACAGGGTTAGCGATGTTGAGTATGCCGATGGGAGACACAATGAATCATAATGTTTAACCCCCGGTATAGCTGTAAACAGCGCCGTTAAAATGCTAATACAGTGCACTCCGACTGTGAAGTGGCTGTCAGTTCAGAAAAATATCACCATCAATCTGTTTGCTCTATTCTCTCTGGCCATTCCTGTTTATTTAGTCTATGTTTTCTTAAATCACTTCTTACATATTATATTTTATATCATTATGCTCATTTGCTGAGCTGTGCTATTCTGAAAAGCTGCCGCTTATAGTGGCTTTTCGACTTGTTCCATTCCACAATAACGTTGTGATTTTCACATTTTTTATAAGGAAGACATTTGTAAAATGTTTTGATTTTGTGCAATACCTAAAACAAGGACACTTAAGTTTATTTCCATCCATCCACCCATACCACGATCATTCTGAGTAGGATGGCGGGAGGGCTGGAGCCTATGCCTGCTGTCATTAGGTGCGAGGCATTCCTGTTTATTCCTGTGGCTCCATCACAGAGCCTCACAGAGATGAATGAGACAGACAACCACGCACGCTCGCTGCAAAATGCTTTGCCTGTGAAAACTCTATGAACCTAGTGTGCCAATTCATTCTGAAGCCATTGTGAAACCTACAAAGCTAAGCTTTTATGGTCAACCAACACACTTAAACCTGTATGTGTGTACAGGAGCTATTTTATGATGCGTACCTGAGACGAGTGCAAGGCCAGGGGAAAGAGAGAGAGAAAACAAATTAATTAACTGCTGAATAGTGGAGCAAGGAATTATCTAACCAGTGCTTACTGACTATAGTAAGAGAAAATGGCAGTGTTATTATTCAACATCACCTTGATTCTGTGCCATGGAGAGATAATGCACAATAGAGTTATTGCATTTCAATCAACAGTGGAACGGCCATTTGTCACCAAAATGGCTGAGAAGGCAGATGAGCTGGGGTGGTGATATTGATTAGTGATGACAATTTCAAAGAAATAAACGCAAGGATGAGGAGACAAGCCGCAGTGTCGCACTGTAATCAAAGGTTTCAGTTGTCGGCTGCCGTTAGTCTTATTTTCCTCTCTGGTTACTGCGGCCAAACCAAAGCCATGTCTACATCATCACGTGACTCTAAGTTTACAGTCAAACAGAAACAGCATGTTGAGGCCTGAATTTTCTATGTCAGGTATTTGGGCTGGGCAAAATGGCAGGGCAGGCACACTGCCTTGCTGAGACAGCACCTCTGAAACTAAGCTCAGCACAAACACTTAGAACCATCTTCATGTTGCTCGTTTTCACTGAGGGATGGACCGAGTCTTAAAAAAAAGTTAAAGTCAGGGATATACAGGCTGAGGCAATTTCACATAGCTGAATTTGACATTCAGGGCTGCCGTCACTGGACAAAAACAACCACTAAGCCGTTGAATGCAGGGGATTAAGGGAAACTTACAGCAAACGTATTGCAATTCACTGATTTGCCATTATGTAAACTCCAGCCTATGTTTGTCAGGTTATTGGTGTGATGGCTCACATAGTGGCTCAGTTATTTTCCTCCCACACTTTTGGCAGACAACATCTTCATTTAACTGAGGATCAATAGAAATTCAGTCAGCCTTGATAATGACATTTCCACAACTCCAATCTACAGCTGTGGTCAAGAAGCTTTACAGTAAGAAAGCTGCAGATCTTTTGTTTTAATCTATGTTTTTTTAGGGTTATTTTAACCATTAAAATCACATAAAAATGGGTATGTGCTATAAGTACACTGAGGAATTCAGCCCTGGAGTGCATGTAGGTGGACACATTGGCACTTTGCCTGCTGACATGTGAATCTAGCTTCCCCCCCCACCACCACCACTGTTTCTTTCTCTTCGTTCAAAGAGAACAACAGCAGGGGGTGCCAAATATCAGAGGGCAGCTCTTTGATGAAAATAGCTTTTTGATGAGGAGCTGCCCTTTACTGCTGGGAAACACTCAACAGTTGCAATTGAGAGAAAACCTTGTGAAATTTACGGAAGATCTTAAAATGGGATTGAATCACAAAAGGCACTGCTGGACCGTGAAGTCTGGAGCATGAATGGAGAGCAGTTATTCAGATGTAGCCTTCTGACTGAGCACCATTTAAACTTTCTCTGAGCCTTAAATACTTACAATTTATGGAAATTTGATTAAACTGATGAGATCCCCAAACTAAAGATTGTGAAAACTAGTCTAAGACATACATTAATGGTGGACAAATAACACCAATAAATTAATAATAACACATGAAAGTAATCAATCTGTTTTCATTTTAATCCCAGACTTTGTATTGACTTATCCATCAACAATTTTCTCATTATACTTTCTGCTCTCTGGTACAACCTTTGATGCTCTAAATGGTCCAGTAAATGGGGATACCATCATTTATTTAAGTACAATGTGCCCATAAAAAATGACCAGGAGAAATAATAAATTACGGATCAAATATTGATAACATTGAGGCTATGTTATATTGTCTTGGAGCATAGAAGTCAGCACAGTTAAAATAATATTTAGGGATGAATTCATATATCTATCCATGGGAAGGAATGGTGTATGTTGTAATAACTTGATTGCGTTATGTGGAAAACCTCCAGGGGACCACAGTAAGGAAAAGTTAACAGTAAGGCTGAAGGATGAAGCAGAATGTTGTCGTTAATAATCAGCTCTGTTGTAAGGCTATGGTTTTGTGTCATTGCACAGAACATGTAACACTGTGCATTGTTTTTAACCACATTAACCTGCACAGGTGAACAGCGGCTGCTCTGCGCTGCGCTTCAGCCCTGCGCGTTTTTCCCTGCGCCGATTGCGCAAATTGAACGTGACGGTAAATATGAAGGAAGTTATGAAGCCTTAAAGCGGTAGCAATTTTCAACCCCAGTGATCCTTCAGGTAAGGAGGGGGTGGGAGGTAAAGCAGGGAGGGGTCCTTGCTACTGGCCGAACCTTGACAGTTCCGCACTATTGGCTGACAGCAGGGGGACTCTACCTGTACCTGTGCGAAGGAGTGCCAGTCGTCATCGTCAGACTTCAAATCAGGATACGCTTTTTGTTCCTCCAGGAGCCCGGAGAAGTAGAAATCGGCCAGGACCGCCTGGAACTGAACGAGCGACTGCACCAGGACTCCCAGCATGGAGCCTATAACGTCGTGGAGCGAGAAAAGAGTCACCGAGTGGCTCCAAGGTGAGGAACATAATTGCGAGGTTCTCTTTTTTTCTTTTCCCACCCACGGCTTTATCCCTTCACATGTACTTTGGCTCGGAAGGTTAGATCGAAAATAGAAGCTCAACGTAAATCCTATTGGAAGTGAAAGGTGGAGGTGGAATGAGGAAGTGGCCTTTGCTGAGAGAGAGAAACCACTAAAGAGTTGGTCTGATCACTGTCAACAACAGCTGAAGTCGAAACCCGTGATACTGTGTAGCCTACATGGCTTTTCATAGAACTCTAGGCTTGGTTAAGCATACTGAAACATGCATAGTTTGCTCAAATTGGCTAAATTAGATTTGAGTTTAAGTTCAAACATGAATCAGTGCAGCCTTACACTGTTGCAACACCCATGTTGGTGTCAGAATGTCTGTCTATGGTAATAAACTATTTGTAAAAAGAATATTCTTACAAGCTATTTATGCAATAAGAGCATATTCTTAGAGAGCAGTATTCCTTATATATTCCCGAAATAAATTAAATGAATTATTTCCTGGAATAAAGACGCATCCATCTATTTAAAGAATGAATGCTGCAAAGTACATAACAAGTGTTTCCTTTCTGTTTAACGCTTTACTTTTTCTATACTTAATTGCCCAACATGCAGCCGAGCAGAGGTCGTTTCTCATGCCTGTACATGCATGTGACTTTTTCAACTATGAGGTTCTTTCATAAATGTATTCAGTGTGGTTGAAAACATCATGGTTGTGTTTTTGTGTCCTGTTGCATTTAGGTCTGGATGCCCACATTAGTCAATACTCGGTCTCGGATTGGCACCTATCAGGGATTGAACTCCTTCAGTTGACTTCCTTGGACTTGGAAAAGTTTGGAGTCCATAAAATTGGACACCAGGAGCTCATTTTGGAGTCTGTGGAGAAGCTCTGCTCCCTGGTGAGTTGGGATCCGTGAACGTGTGTTTGTGTATGATGCATGTGCACAGCAGTACCCTGCGTTTACTGTTATTTTAGTTGAGGAAGTAATGGGTGAAGAACAAGACTGTAACTGAGCAGTCATACATAAAAACAGTCATCTTGCTAAGGTGCTCTTGCTGATACCCCCCCCCCCATCGTTGTAATGTTTTTAGACCCTGTTCTTGTTTGCACAGTGAGACCAGCCCCTGCCAGAAAGACTGTCAAAAATCCAGCCAACATGCACAACAGTGATGATCTCACTGCCATTTAAGTCCAGTTCAGAGTTATTTCCACTTAGTTTCTACTCAAGCATATTAGAAAAGCAGCTTATTTTCAAGTTAGCTGTACATCCCCATTCATGCTCCAGCTGCAACCGGAGTAGATAAGTATTCAAATATATGCCTCTAATGCTTTCCATACAAATGTTTGGTAAAGTTATGTGGTCAAATGAGTAAACACTTTTTATTTGACCCCGCCCCCCCCCCTGCGCACACACACATTATATTTTATACCCTGCTTTTTCTGCTGTGTAATTAATTTAACTTTCAGGGTTGTATGGGTGTTTTAGAGCCTTTGGGACTTGCTTGGGTTAGTGGGGGCATTAGTGTATTTCCAGAAAAAGCCTTTGTTTCAGTGCAGGGGCTGATTGAGCTGGACAGTACCAGGCAAAGCCTCAGCCCTGGTGGCGTAACAGCCGGAAAGCGTCAGGCTAAGACTTCTTAAACTGCTCATTTTCGAGTTGTCGAAATAACTGTTGCACAGACTGAACAGCATTAACAATTCCACACCGGCCTATGGAACGTGTTGAGAGAGCTCGAGCAGGGCGAGCGTGCGGGTGCACGTATCTGCCGTTCTGCTGTCCTCTACGTTTTCTCCGTCCTGATGCTCCATTGAGCTCCAACACAGTGCTCATTCATAAAAATCCCCGTCAGATGTTCACGTGGAGCAGACCAAACACATCCAAGTACACGGCTGCATAATTAACAGTTACAGCGTTGAAAATGAAATGAAAGATTCATAGCCACTTCATAGCAAGCTTGTTGTCCCAGCTAGGTGATGTGCGCCCACAAAGCCTGAATGGTCCGGCGTGCTTGACCGATGATGAGTGGGCAGTGACAATGAAATGTTGCTTCCTCACCAGCTTTCAAGAGTCATGTCTCATGCTACTGAGCACAAAACCGGGATGATAAGCATGCGAAAGAGGCTGAAGCAGCTGTCCTTTCTTCTCTATGTTTTGCTACAAAATTAGGTAATTAGATATAATCCTGAAGGTGGCTGGGTTCAGTATTGTACTGAAGTAGGGTCCTTTCTTTTGTGTGGAGGATGTGTGGAAGTTAGTCCAGGGTTTAGCGTTATGTACATCACTTTTGAGCAAATCTCTTACACAACCTACAGAAGAGTGTTCATATATTATGCTGTAATATAATAAGGGCTTACACTGTAGTGTGTGAACTTTTGTATTTATACTGTTGGTGTATTCATCCATCTGCTAGCTCTCAATGGAAATGATGCCAGTCATTTATTTATTTTATAAATCTTGAGCATGCTGAGCGTTTCCTAGTGCCTCACACTCGCTTGTCCAAGTTTCTCCGTCTGTGTTTCAACAATTTACTTAATCAGTTACTTATTGAGAGATATAATTATATCCACTTCCCTTACTAGAGGAGAAAGTGTTGAGTTTCTATGATACTTCTAATATGCTTCTGAAGGTTTGCCGTCATGGTGTTTGGATGCAGCTTTAAAAAAAAGTTTAAAATCTCATTGTAAGAAATTGTGACTGGATAACATGGAAGGGTAAAACTCTTGCAGCACCAGGGTAAGGCTGGTGGTTTCATCCCCAGGCTTCCCAAACTACATGCTGAGGTAGTGCATATTGGCTCAGATGTGGCCATCACTGCATATAGGAAAAAGGACAGTATTACTTTAAACACTGCAATTTTTAAGAAGTGTAATTAAATATTTACGAGAGTGTTAATGGCTTAGTTGGGTTTGTTGTGTGAAAAACAGTTTGAGGAGTCATCTGGAAAAGTGCAGCAAGTACTGTCCACTTGCCGCTTATCATATCTGTTGCTTTGTGAATAAACACAGTCATTACTTTTCCTGTTTGTGTGATGACACAAGCACTATTGCGTTCCGGCTGCCTGGTGCCATTTTGGGACACAGAAAAAAAAAGGATTAGCTAATGCAATTTTTTAGACCAAACAGTTGACTGGTCTTTGCACTCTGGACCTTTTAGGAGGGAGGACTTAATGAGACAGGAGATAAAACGATTGAAATGAAATCAGAGTTGGGGGAAGAGAAATATGTACTTTTTCCCCCTAAACATTTGATCATCTATATGCACTTTATAAAATATAAGCTGCTTGGTGGTGTTTTTCTGATGTATGATTTGTTTTAAACTCTAATAATATATGTTTTTTTGTCAATTTCTAACACTATTCTTCATATAATTATGATAAATCATGTTAAGGGTGTAAAAAAATGTTGTCTCGGTCTGTCATATGTTTATATTCTTGCGATGAAATAATGATTTAGTACATACAAACATTTTTTTTAAACTGAAAGTGGGCGTTCTATATTGTGGGGGAAAAGCTCCCATGTTGCAGTGTCATGATGTTTTTGTTTTTTTTAAAGTCAGATATCTGCCTAATTGTTTAGCATCAGCAAAGAACAGAATCTATTATTGGTCAGACATGTGTTTATTTTATTTCTAGACTTATGGAATAGGAGGAGAGAACCTACAAGGTCTGACAGAGAAACTGCGTGCCGTTGCGCACACGCTGCAGATGGGCATTCAGAACCGCTGGCGCCTCAACATTTATGACGGACGCACCACCACCAAGCTGCCATCTGGCATTCTCCAGATTGTAGTGGAACTCATCACATCTGCCAAAGGCCTGTTCTCTTTGCTCAACAGGTTTGTAAGCAATTATTTGCATACTCTAGTATAAATGCAGAGTGTTACGCTTCAGTATTAAGATTAATGGCTGTGAGTTAAAAGCATCTAAAAGTGTTGTGTTTTCAGAGGAATGCTTTGGTATTTGCATTATTTCCTGACCTTCTCAATGTTTGCTTCAATTTTTAATGAACCGTTATAATTTCTCTTATTAGTCTTTGTTCACTTGAAATAGCCTTGTGTTTAAATATCTGCATTATTTAATGTATATCATGATCTGTGTTTTTCCAGATATCAGTTTGCGCAGCTCAGTGGATGCACTGCGACCAAGAACATATTCACATACTGCAGAGAGCTGGGAGACATTGTGCACAAGGTAGGACAGTTCATTTCAATTAAGAGCATAAAAGATCAGCTGTCGTCTTATCATGTGACTCCCATCTATCAAGTGATCATCTGCCAGGCACAAATTAGCTCTTTTTTATGGGATGCTTCTCTGTTTTGATTAAATGTCAGTCTTTTTTACAATACGAAGTTAAAAAACACACAGTATGTGTGGGTTATGTACTTACCACACATTTATAAAGATGTGAAATATTTAATCTTATATGAGGAACCGCACATGAATAAATCTCTAGTTGTAATGTCGCGTGCGCTAAACTTTGAAAGCAGAACTACAACCTGTTGAGTGAATGCCCACTTCTTTTATAAACCAGACACTAAAATTGAAAAGACAAACTGGAGCACATGAGCCTCTCATTACCTCAGCTTAGCTTGAGAAATGCAGCTTTTTTTTATCAGGACATTCCTGGCATATTTGGAGGCGGTTGTACCTTAAAGACGCTCTGGTTGAAAGGGCTGTCTGAGCAGCTAGCTGGATTTTGTTTGTGTTTACCCCATTATGATGCTTTGTAATGTTTCATAAAATTAGGAGGAGAACAAATATTCATAACAATGTCCATGTAAAGTGGATGAAAAAGGTACATGTGTACGGTAGCACACAGAACAGGCCTGGATATGCTGTGCTGCCCAAGGGAGGGAGGGAGAAAAGAGCAGAGTGGGAAGCAAAGAGGAAGGCAGAGAAAGAGGGAGGAGACTGAGAAAAGGATTGTGCTGCCACTATTAAATGACTTCTGGCTCCTGAGGGAGTGAACATGCCGCAGAGAGCAACAGCAGGCAAAGAGAAGCTATTAACTCTGGAACTATGGTGACATTAGAGATAAATATGCTGGCAAAAGTTCAGAAAAGAATAGAGCAAAAGAAAATCAATGCGAAAAGACAGTAAGTAATACGGAGGCTCTTGAGTCGAGGAGACTTAGTTTTTGTAGTGGAGTTTATATATAGCCAGCTTTGGACGCCTGCCCAGCACGACAGGTACTGTTCTCACCTTTTGATTGGATAATTCTTCAGAAGGGGATCCTTCTTTTGCTGCTATTGGATTTTGCTCTCATTCTTAAAACGGCTCAGGCCACTTAGATAAGACATCAAGTTTATTTTCTCTCCTGCTAGTCTGAAAATCAATTCAGTGTTGATGTGTCTGACACAATATCTGCTTTAGAGATTGAAAACTATGTACTGTCCCATGGGAACAAACTCAGGTGGAGCCATCAGCTTGCAGAGCTCTTGGGACTTATTCATGAGAAGTAAAATTTGTACAATAAACCTGCCGCTGTTTTTTGTGGGAACTGAAGGACAGAGAAAAAGAGGTGTTGATTTCAGGGTGTTGTAGCGAGTTGACTTGGATAGGGTGTTTTTGCTCCCAGGCAGTGAATCAGAGTTGATCCTGTTGTTTTCATTCAGTTTTTCACACTGAAAACATGGCAGACTGCTGAAAGAGTGATAAGAAAATTAAAGTCGATGATATTTTTTTTCTTAGAGTTTGATCTTTATATTAATCATGCTCTAATGCACCTTACAGTTCCTGCTTTTGAAAACTGAGTGCGCAGGTTTCTTAAAGGCCAAGAACTATTGTGTTTAATGAGTGCAGACGATGTTGGTATTACAGACTGTCTCCCTCTGAGATGTAATTTCATCCAGCTACTTTCTACAGTTTGAATAGTCTAACAGTAGCTAAATCCATTCATAAAAAGAGCCAGTAATGAATACTTGATTTCATATCTTTGAGACCTGGATATTTTGATGTTTTGACTGCTGCTTTACTAAAATAAAGTTTGGTTAAATTAACTTGGGTTAAATCATTTTATTTTGTTTTAGAACTTGTCATATTTGGTTAACTAACCTCAGAAAATGAAAATACTTAATGCACATGTGTTCAGGCCTCATCTTTCTAACTGTCATCGTTGCAACCGCATCACCCTACATGTTCATTTCATGAGTCAAATGCACTGATTTGTACTTTCTAGCATTCAGAAGAGTCCAGCTGGGTTGTCTTACATAAGCTTGTGTATTCCCTATACAACAGAGACAGTATGGACACAGCTGCTTAAACCTTGTGCGTGGCTAATTGAGGCTGGTGTCATTCCCCCCGCGTGACACATGTGCTGTTAGGACGCAGTGGCTTAATCGTGATGTCCTTTCTGGGGAAGCGCTTCCACGGAAGCCAACCCACATCCTCCGCACAAAAGAAAGGACCCTTATTTCAGTTTCTCTGCAGTTGTGCTTGTTTGGCTCCCCCTGAGGCTGCGCAGGACTTGTAGTCAGCTGGTGTTTGTTGGGATCGCACAGTGGAGCTGTCTGAGTTTCACACTGGCACCGGATCGGTTTGCTTTGAGGCAGCCATGCAGCAAAGCCAAAGTCCAAGAGAGTGAGGCCAAAGGGAAACAAGGTTAATGGCTCTGTTGGGAAACGCTACTTTCAGGTATGTCATTCTAATGGTGACAACAGACAAAGCGAGACGCTGGTTCAAAGAAAACTTTTAATTGGTACTTTCACAAACAAACCTAAATGTCAAATCGTAACTCAAGTCAGTATTTATTTGCCTGTTATTCATAAAGAAAGCAAGTATTTAGACTGTATTGGTGACTTAGCAATGATTTGCATGTTTTAGTTTCTAATGGATGACTTATTAAAAAAGTCATTTAAAAGAAAATCCTAAAATATTCATAAACAGACACAAGATAGAAAAAAGACTACGGATAAGGCATGCTATAGATGAGACTAAGAGGTATTCATCATAAAAAAAGAGTTTCAGTGAAATGCATTTTTAATCAGTGTTAAAAGCCAAGTTTAAAAGTCAAAAGTGACAGAGTCGGTAGATCAAATGTAGAGAAGCAGGTGTAAAAGTGATCGTGTATAGTTATGTCTCACAGCTTTTTATAGCAAGCCTTACTGAAGAGGGGAACTATCTTCTGGGGAAGTCCAAGTATGTAAACATGCTGGCAGAGATAGACAGAAAATCAGCAGCTCTGAAGAGGAGAACACAACATTTTCTATTTGTATATGTATATCTAGAGAAGAAAAGTCAATATATTTGTTTCCATTTTATGTATAAATGTAAGGCTTTTAATTTTGCACCCGTGTCCTTGCATGATGTGGATCTTATTGTCCGCGCTGTACATTGTTAAGAGAAACAACTACTGAGAACAGCTTACAGACAAGGTTTGCCCTAAAGTTATCTAACTGATTGAACCACAGACCACACCCCACAGCACTGATCAGCAGCGGAAGGTTGTTATCTTTTCATTTTTATTTCAATGATTGTTCTGTGGCAGGAAATGTGTCACACAAACTTCTGTTCCGTTCATTCTGACCGAAAATCATCTGCAGTTTCTTTGATATCTGTATTAAACCAGAGCCGGACCTGAGAGGGTCAAGTTACAGTGATATGCGAGCTGATACCTGTGCATGTACCAGTTTTTCCGGCTCATGGCTGTTCAAACATGTATATATTACCGCTTTCCATGAAAAGTTTTAGAAGGAATGTTTCAAGTTTTCACACCCCTCTCACAGCCTTTATTGATGTCAGACTGATGGTGGATTGACTATAGAATAACTGCGCTGTTTTTAAGTTTAAGAGTGAGCTGCACTTAAAATCTGGCTGTATTGTGAAGCATTTCTTCATTGATGTTATCAGAAACTTTTCTAAGTGGAGCATCAACACACACAGTGAAACATGGCGACGTTATGAGCATAATGGGTTTCAAACCATTGTGTTTACTTTCTGGATGTGGATTTGATTTTTACTAAAAAATTCTTTGGAATATCCGGGTGCAGTGGAAAGCGTCACACATCCAGACGTGTGTCGCCGTGGTTCTGCTTTAATTTGAAAGCAGGAAGTGTTCACTTGTGCTTTCTGTTTTCCCGCCACACTTTCATGACATTACACCAGCTTCTTCACATACTACCTGCTGCCCACCTCAGATCAAATGTGCCATTTCCCGTTCTACCGGGGTGTGAATGAAATGCAGAACTGGCTGTGTTGTTATGAGGAAACGTCCTGCAGCATGGTTACAAACAGCTAAGAATGCAAAGAAGGCGGTGTTGCTAAGTGAAGGCCGAGGTGATAATACGTAGGAAACAAAGAAGTGGGACTAGCTCCGAGCGTCAGCTTCTACAGTCATTTACAATATGGATTTGGGCAACTTTGTGTCCTTGGTTTTTCACGTTGTTACAGAATAATGTGTCCGTTTGAGAACGGAATGAGAGCTGCAGAAAAAACAAATAGCTAAATGAGCGATATCCTATTTCAATTCATCTTGATATTCATTCGAATTATGCCATACAATTCTTTTCCATTTTGTTGTTTAATTACAAGATTTTATTCTCTCGACTAGAATTTTGAGCATTTTCTTAATCCTTATTCAGTTAAAACTTCCGTGGTAACTGAAACATCCCAGACTAAATTGATTTTGAAATAATATGTAACTAAATTAATCACTAATCGCGAAATTCACTGAGCCTGACAGTTTTTACATATTCATCTGAATAGCTACAACATAATATAATGACATCATTTCATATCCAACGATGGTGATTCAACAATAACAAACATAATTGTTGTCAAATTGCTAAATTAATTCGTTGAACTTTCATTTGAATTTCTTGGTGAATCGACATTAACTTATGTATGGCAACTTTCTGTTGCCTAAAAGAGTTGGAGCCATATTTAAAGAGTCATATTCTGTTAGAAACAGCTACTCTTGAAAATAGGACGTGAAGGCATTCTGTCATATCCACACAGAGGCATTAGGAATCTCACTTCTCTTCTTTGTTGTTTTGAATAGATCTCACTGTACAGGTGACGTATTGTGTTGGCTAACTTAATGCTTGGTCTGTTGTTTTGATTTGCTTGTGCAGCTTATGATGAAAGTTTGAGTACAGTGCAAACCTTTCACATCAACCAATCAAATGAATTGTATGTAGAAAGGAATGCCGTTTGCCCACTGCTGAGGATGAAATCTTCAGATCTGTGTGAAACTTGCCTAATGCTGTGTGGCACGTCATAGATTGCAAGCCACTGCTGGTGCAGGGAGCTTTGTTTGGCAATGATGGAAGCATCTGATGGAATTAGCACATTTTGGTGCTTAAACAGATTTTTCTGCTACCCTTTAATGGTTGTGTTTCAGTTATTGGAAATTAATAATTCAGCATTTCGGACAAATGCTCTCGGGTAATTTTTTAAAGACATTTACACCGTGCCTCATTAAGTGTTTAACATTCTACTTTGAATAACACTTCATTTTGTGTTAAAGCCTTTTAAGTTTTTGGTTGTAATTATGACACGTTGGTGTGCTTAGAAAAACTAAATTCACCATGTTTTATTTAGTGGTTTGCTTCTTTTTTTCTTTTGTCGAACGAGGTTTGTCGATTTTCTAATTTCAAGTGTGATCATGCTGCTGATCGGGTGTGACCAGCTACTCAGCTAACCTTGCCTTAGTCATTTTTTCAAACTGCCAGTGTGCCGTGGCGCGATTACCGTGGCGTGGGAGTAGGGATCAGGATCAGGAGCTGAACATCTCCATTCATGTTCTTGCGTAACGTGTAATAGTTTGTTGAGCTGTGACATCGTATATCAGATTCTCTTACACGTCTGACCACAAACAAATATTACGAATAGCCACAGTTGCTGAAGCAACACAACACAAGCAGATAAGTTGAAGTGGTCAGTAAACATGAGGTAATTCTCCTTGGTCTTTAGGCAGCCCAATCCGTCCATGTTCACTGCTGATCCTTGTTAGATTTCTGAGGGATTACCGTCTCCTTACAGTCCTTTATGTAACTTATCACATCATTGGGTAAATTAGCTTAGTGCAGCACTGTGAGGTATGTGCCATGGCTCAATAAGCCTATAGGGGCATTTCTCTTTTCTGCTCACGAGTAGTAGAAACTTCGATGCAGGCCTACTTTTAGCAGAGCATGACTCTGAAATGCTTTTGATTAATTTAAACTATGGTTGAAAGTGAAAATCGGTGTAAATATTGTACGAAAGGTCATGAAAGGCACAGAAACTGACTCAAAATGTAAAATGCAATTAAGAACTTCATTCTGTCAAGTGAATGTTGTGATGCTAAAGTTTTAAATACCTGAAAAACACAAATTAAAATCAGGAGTGCCTCTCCTTTGCCTCTGGAGAACTGTGGCCTTTCACTTCCTGACACATGTTGTGAGAGGAACTAGGACATGGGTCAGATTGTTTTATTTCCACAAATCAATCGAATTAGCATACGAGCTTATGTTGAGTCATTTTTCTGTTTTTGCTCATAATGTGTTTTTTCACTGTTCCACTAGGATACCACTGTCTACGAAAAGGAAAAGGACATCATCTCTGTTGTGAGTTTGCTTGTTATTTGCATGTTTGGAAGTTTCAAATTGGCTTTTGGCCGAACTGAAGAAGCTATTCATTGTTTTTCAAAGAAAGTAAGTCAAGTTGTTTTCCATCTTGCAGTGCCGGCAGTTGGTGGCGGTTTGCGATGAGATCCTGAGCTCCAGCCCTAAAGCGCTTCTCACCCATACAGCTCAGCTGGAGAGTGTGGACCTGGTGCCTGTGTCACCAGCTGATCAGCTGGTAGAGCCTTTATTGCTTTAAAACTGAGCTTGAGTTTGTGTGTTAGTTTCTTTCACTCTTTCAGCAGTTTTTCTGTGTTTTTTCTCCCTTCATCGCTGCCTTTGGATGTTCTTCAGCGTTTGATTTTATCTGCACATCTTTCATCTAACTCAAGGTTTCTTTGTATCTGTTCCTATTACTTTCCCTGTAACCTCCGCTGTGTTTGGTTGTGCTCAGATAATGCTCTTTTATTCCATTTCTCCTCTTCTTGCTTTGAAGTCAGGACACTCTGCACTGTAATTATAGCTCCATGTTGCTATCAACAACATCCATTTCTCCATTAGTAGTCATATCAAAGGAACTATTTTCCTCAAAACATTTAGCAGCATCCTTCCTTTTTGTGTCCTATGTTCATTAACCAAAAATCTCACATTAGCAGTTAGTCTTCTTTACCTAATTTCTCCTCCGCATCAGATCACTGAATGATCCTTTTTAACCAACGTGCAGTTTTCCAGCTCCACTACATTTCCAAAACATATGTTTTGTTTCTCCTTTGATATATAGCTGTGTCTGGTTGCTGATGTGAGTGGGAGGTGTACTTAAACTGAGTTGTCAGGGTAATGTTTCACACATTTCCGACAATAGAAGAAGATTAGGTTTACAAATGTAGGACCAAGAAATTACAAAATCCAATTATCCTAAGTTGTCAGTAGGTAATGGATTAAAAGCCATCTCCAATAATGAGATCTGGCCTTCTTACAAATTGAAAATAACAGAGATTATAAACAGCTAAATAGGAGGGAGAGGCATGAAAAAATATAATTTTTACAGACTGAAATTTCAAACTTAATTGATTATTAAACCTAATAAAAAGATTTTGGTGTCTCTCAAATTTGCTTTATTTTGAGAATATCATGGCTCAAAAGATGCATTTCTAGTGATACTGATGCGGATTGTTGAATAGAATTTTCTTTTCCCGCTTCACACGCAGATGAAAAACTACAAGCTGGGCTTCGAAAGTAATCTTTGAAATATGCAGGGCCAAGAATGTTATTACTCCGGCAATGCTTTTCTAACACCCATTTTTGTTAACGAAGTAGTTTATTGTAGAGTACATCGATGTGTGTTGTGCTAAAAGAACACTTATAGTGTGTGAGATATTTTTTTCCCTTGCTATATGTTTGAAATTATACACATATATACATATATATAGATGGTAAAACATGTATGTGTGTGTGTGTATTTCCTAATACTTTTAAACATTGTCATTCTTTTGTCTTACTCTTTTTGATCTTCCACTTACATCACAGAATAATTATGGAATTTATTACACTATATGCATTATATTTCATCTGGGGAATTTAGCACAGTGTTTCTGACTGCGCTTTACTCTCATAATCCAGCCAATGCTCAATTAGCATTAAGTTATTATAGGATACCACAAACCAACCACTGAACACCCACCCAGATGCTGCATTTATCTTTGGTGGATATTTTGACCAAGGCAACCTTAAAAGTAAATAACCCATAGATATCACATGTTTTGCAAAATAGCAAGCTTCCAAATAGTCTCCCTTCTCCCCACTTTGGATAGTGGCCGCAGACCGTCAGAGTCTGGCCAGATGGGGCCATCACATGTGACAGGATTCAGATCCATCACACACCACAGAAGCAGCACCACCTGTTCAACCAATGCAACACACTCCTCCCTCCCCAGTGCTCGTATTGCTGCCCAATACAGATTTATATACCCTGCTGTACATAAAAGGATGATATTGGTTACCTGTCAGTCATGCGGCTGTCAGATCCCAAGAGGTAATCCAGGTGCTCTTTTTCAAGCTCTTTGGATTTCCATGACCTGGATGATGGAGAATCTCTGCCAACATAGCTGTCAGGTTCAGCTTTGTGGAGGATTCCTACATATCATGACCTTTTAAAATGCAGGAAAAACATTTAGCTTCATTTCATGCTTTTGCACTCGTGATATGTATTGATTAAGTGATTTAGGTGTCTCTGTGTATGCTCATTATGACAGAATTGGCAACCTGGTTTGTTACGGCATTTCAGAACAGATAACATTAACAAGATAATCTTGTTATGCAATTTTGACTCAAAATCGACCCAGTGCAGGGCAGTGCAGCTCTCAGCTGAAGCTGTTTTATCATTCTGAAGTGTATACAACATATTTCATACTTTTTTTTCAGGGGATCGAGATAACGTCCACCGGTTCCAGTAACCACTACGTGACTGGAACCGCTGCTGAGGTCAGAATCTCAAATTTGGTTTTCTTTTTCTTTTTTGCTGTTGATTCATCTTACAAACAGAGTTAACCAACACTGCCGTGCTCTTGACATACACGCTATGTGGAGCAACGAGACCCGGACTGCTTGTTTTGAACTCCAGACTAATGGGTTAGCTACAGCTACATTTTTTTCTGGACATGAGCTTTATTCTAAAGACTGTGAGAGATCTCCAAGGGTTTAATTACTTGAACAGTGACCTGTTAAACAGCAACCGGAGCTGACCCGCAGAGGAAAATCACAGTGGTGAATCATCTTAGTGATTTCATTATATTTTTCTCCAACCTTGCATGTATCAAGCTGACTTAGTGGCTGTGGCTGTTGTGGATGATTGCATCTGATAATACTTTACACTCATTTGTAGTTCTCATATTACAGGGTTGCATTCTGATAAAAACTGGCATCGCTCTCCTCGCTCTTCCTCTCTTTATGCAACAAGAAGTATACGTGCAGTTGTGAAAAACTCAAAAGGGGATGAAACATTTTAATTTCTCTGGCAAATAAAAAAAAACCCCGACCACCTTCTTCTTTTATCTGATCAAATATCTTTTGGTCTTTAAGTTGCATCATAATCTATTTCATAGCTCTACAAAGCCTCACTATGAAATTAGGATTTTCATCAGCTACAGAAGCAAAAGCTCTGCTGTGAAAAAAAGAGGTCCCTTTTGAAGGCTTTATGTATGATAACCATTTTAGTGGTGGGCTCATCTTGGACAAACACTTGTTACTGTGCTTTTGCCAATGAGGAAGCTTCTTTTGAAGCTTGTATATGAATAAGCTGTTTCTATCAGTTTATATTTTGTATGAAAATCTTACAATGTACATTTTTAATATTTGTAAAATAATATGCTGTGGACTCTGTGGAACATGGGAATTTTGCATGTGTGGTTAAATACTTTGTTTATTCCACTTCAAGATATTTCATATGAAGTAGCCTCTCTAAAAAAGCCAAAGACCATTTAAATGGGGGTCTTGTAAGATATACAAGAGAGCAAAGAAAAGAGGGAAGAGTAGAAGGCTTATAAAATCAGTGCAAGGGTAGCTCTCCCGTGGGACACAAAGTTGAAGATGTTATTTTTCCATGATGTCAACACCAGAATACCCTTGACTCCCCTGCTGCTGCACCAGCATGACTGTGGCTGACTCATGAGAGATGGGATCAGCATCCACAAGCACAGAGAAACTCTGAATGCCAGAAGACTGCCTCCTTTACAAAGACAGAATAATAAATAGAATAATTGGTTTGATAGGTGTGCTGATTTTTGCCGTTTGTCTCTTTTAATGCAGCCTTCTAATGATGCTTATTTGAGGATATTGGCTGGAGATGAAGTGGTTCAAGTCAATGACCAGATAGTGGTGAGTGACGCAATATGTAGGCGGTTTACAAGCTTGCATTTATCTCGGGCTATTCTGTTGAATTGCGTGTGTGTACTGACATGAATCTTTTTACTACAAAGCGTGTCATTTCTAGGATCATAACCTTTATACTGACATTTAGGTGGGCTGGAGTAAAGAAAACCTTATCAAGAAGCTGCAGGAGAATCCCAGTGGTGTGACCCTGGTCTTGAAGAAGATCCCTGGATCAGTACGACGCAAAGACGCTATCCAGCCATCCTCCACACAGGTCATTCAAGTCCACCTGCATGCACACAATCACAAACTCATTATTATTACAAGTTTGAATCATTTCAGCTTTTGGAATAGAAAACATTACATTTTTATATCATTCACAAAACTTTGTATGGATGCAGTAACACATGATGGAAAATAAGGATCTGGGAAGTGGAATCCTTGTCAGTATTTATGGTAGATTTAAGACCAAACAGTGAGCTGAAGTGCTACTGGGGCAGGGCTAACAAAACCATGAACTGAAAGGACCAAAAATAAACAACAAAGAAAAGCAGCAAAATAGAGGGATACAGGGTTAGGCAATATATTACAATAAACACCAGCAGGAGAACAAAAGAAAACCAGAAGAAGGCATGGTAAGAAAAACAGGTTTGGCATTTAGCAGCAGAAACCTGGAGGAACACTGGAAGCTAATCCAATAGCAAACACACAGGAGAGAATAGTTCACAATAAACAGAGGGAAAACCAAACAAACCTAAATCAGAATACAGAGTAACTGAGGAGCAAGAGGTACCCTGGAGAGCAAAAACAAAGTCATAGCAAAATCCATGGATCGTTTTCGTTCTCTTTTAACTCCATTTGGTGTAAAGGCTTAACCTTCTTAAAGATTAAAGATAATCCCACTGTCAACAGGAATTCAAAATGTCTCTTTGCACAGTCTCATATTTTCCTCAAAGCAGCAGCTTTCAGTAATTACATCTAGGGATGAAAGTCCAGCATCAAATCCTCCTTCAGTAACTGGGTATGTTTGCACATTTATATTAGGAGGAACTTTAGCCGTTCATTCCTCTGAGTATGGTTGAACCTAGCCTGGGCTTCAATTTTCATAAACTCTTGCAAGTTGTCACTGAACTGACTGTTTGAACAACAAACTGAAATACACAGTTCATCTAAGACAAGCTCACATGCACACACTGTGCATTTCACACCCCCTTGTGACCAGTACCATGTTAAACTCAGATCTAGCTGGCGGCTTGTGGTGAGAGGACACTTCAGAGGATGTGAATCAGCTGTGTGTATCGTCTCCATATTGCCCTCAGAGGATGGCCTGATTCTTGGATTCACAGAATTTGTGTCTGTTTGTGCGAATTTTATGTTATCTTGTTTGCTAAGCCACAGAGTGTGCAGATGGAGACCTGAGGAAAGGGCTGCCATCACACCCCACATGACATCCGCTTCCCAAACCCTGTGCTAAATGAATACAACCACAAACGCACACACACACACAAGAACGACCTCAACAAGCATTCTCACATGCTTGGACTTTGTTTATTTTTTTCTCTGAAGGAGAACGAGGAGAGAGAAGAGAGTTCAGAGGAGGAAGAAGAGAAGGACGAGGAGGAGAACCCAAGGCATTCCATATTTGAGAGGGTCGCAGCTTCTGTCAGATCCCTATCTTTTAGGTACGAGTAGTATTTCACTTTCCCTCGAATAATAGAAAAGGATTTTTGGTATTTGATTTGGCAGGTTTGACTGGTTGACAAATTTGAAGTAAAATGTTTTTTTTCAATGTGATCATTTTTATCCAAAATAAGAATAAATCTCCTTTCTTTGTGATACCCTTTGTACACCATGGAAAGGTCCAATCCTAAAAAGATTAACATAAACAGTTCGAAGGAAAAAAATGTTTCCTCCAAAAAGTATTTCAAAAGAAAATTCATGAAATACTTAAATAAAACCTGCTAATTTCTTTTTAAAACGCGGCAGAACATAATTAAATCTAAATTGAATCTAAGCATTAAATGCCTTATTTCAACACAGAGATTTGGTTTTCATCATGGAAATGAAGCCTTTTAGGCAATTATGAATCATATTGAAGAAACGCTAGAACTGATGTCTGGGAATTCTGGAATCTGTTATCAAGCGTAATTCTTTGTGCACATGTCTGCACACAGGCAGAGTATGTTGGACATAGACATGTATCCGTGAATTACCACGGATTAACTCAGCAGAACAAAGCCTCCCATGAACTCATTTGACCTTTTTAATATGCCTGAATCTGATATGTTTGCAGTGCAAATATCATAAATTCCACCGTGCATGCCCACCTCCTACCACTGACAGGAAATGAGGGGAAAAGAAAAAAACTAAGAGATACACATTCAGCAGAGGAACATGAGGAAAAAAAAAGGAAAAAGAAAGAGTCAGGGAGTAAAGAGACACAATGGGTAACAAACAGATGGAGGGAGTAAACAATGATGGTGCATTATGGTTAAAGATTATTCTGCCATGCCACTACAGATCCAGTTCCAGAAAAAACTGACATTTTTCAGAAAACTGGAATATTGTGTCATAGTTAATCTTTTTAGGAGATCCAGTTTAAATTTTTAAAGTGGTTAATGAGAAACCTTACAACAACAGCTTTTACTTATTAAATGACAGCTGTTACTTTAAAGACTTTTTTGGATAGACTGCTGCAGCATTGGACTGTGATGGGGAAAAGGGAAACCACTGCTTATTAAAGAAAATGTAGATCATTTCTCTGTCTGTAAGAGTTTAGACATTGGAAGCATCCAAATGGAAGGGAAATGATTTTCTCAGATTGATGTTTCTTTTGATTTTGCAAAAGGAGAGCTGTTCAAGAACCAGAGGGACAGCAGCAACCCATGGGACAGGAAGAATCTGATTTCTGTTCTGGCAAAGAGCAGGAAGGGAGTCTGAATCTAACTTCATACCAAAACCTGCAGGAAAGGCTCTCACCTCTGTCAGCCTCAGGTAAGGAACTTATCTTTAAGTCCCAAATGAATGGAGGATGTTTTGTAGCTTTCTTTTAGTTCTGAAAAAAGGATGGAAAATAATTGTCTTTGCAAAGTCAATTAGGTTTTTGTGCAGGAGCAGCATCTACTTTGTAAATTAGTCTGAACTGAATTTTATGTTTCAAGCGGGTGTTATTAAAAGATCTCAGGCTCCAATCAGATTAACCCACAGCCAAATACTGCAAGGAAACTTAGCAGAGTGATGTGTGTCAGTGGCACTCTTCTGAAGTCAAATCATTTAAAAGCAGCCACATATTTCATAAAAGGTTGGCAGACCCTGGCATAGCGGGGGGGAAATCTGGATGAATGGGAGGAGGAAAGCCACATTCTGCTGCAGAAACGGGAGCTCCCAGACTCTTCTGCTCCACAGGCCTCAAAATTCAATCATCAAAAAGCATATTGAATGTTTTAAATGTCAGTTGATATACAGAATATAACTCATCTCTAGCCAGAAATAAAACAGCATAATTACATCAGCCTCAATAAGACAAAGTGAAGCCGGCCTTTCTGTAATCACAGGTTTGGGTTGACACAGGTGGGTGTATCGTAATAACATACCTTTAGCTCCAGGTTGTTTGCCTCTTGTCTGCGATGAAAGATTCCCTTCATTTAAAATCTTATATTTGAGGCTGAAACGCATGGAAGATGTTTCTAGCCCCGATAAAGTGATGGTTGTATAAAAGATTTGTTAATGTGGATCACCAGCTCTTGTCACAGACAGCATGATAAACGTGTCATCACTATTTGTTATGTTGTCACAGTTTTCATCTAAATGTAAAATAGACACATAGAGTCATAGGATTGCTGACAACTGCAGGTTTTTGTTTTTTTTGTATTTTCTTTTATGATGATGATGATCTTTCCCTTCGTTTTGTGTTTCTCAGCGGAGGGTGTGAATTCAGAGGGTCGGAGGCTCTCCCCGAACTTGATAAGAGACAGATCACCCTCGCCTCACAGACTCACCCAGGAGAGAGCGAGCATCAGTTCCTGCCCAGAAATGGTCGGGCACACAGTAAGAGAAAAAGAAGAGCATTTGGGATCAGATGTGCCAGTTTTAAATTAATCATATTTAGGGGACTGAATAAAACTGCTCTTGGGATGCTTAATTATCTCTTTCTGTTTACCCTTACAGCCAAATAAAGAAACTAAAAGGACATGTACGAAAGGTAAAAAAAAAACATTAACTTGCAGCTTTTTATTTCTCTGTAAGTCCAAATAATTTTTTTAGATAAGATCAAGTACACTGATTAAGGCGGCATTTATGAATGCATTCGAGTCTTTGCAGCATCCTGTGCTGCACAAACTCCACTGCAGAGACCACTGCCAGCATACAACATCATTGAATAAAAAATAAATAAACAATAATCAGTTTAATGCTACATTTACAAGGGGTATTCCATGTTCTTGTCTATGCTGCAGCGTGGATGCAATCTAAAAAGTCCACAACCAAACTATTGACTGCTCAACTACTTCATGTCCATGTGACTCTGTGCTCATCTCTCTTGTTTGCGTACTTGTTGCTTTCCAGGAATGACGACAGCCCTAAGCCGGCGCCGTGTGTCCTGTCGTGAATTGGCTCATCCCGACTGTGATGGGTGGCTCTGGAAGAAAAGAAAGGAGAGCAGTGTCTTCATCGCACAGAAGTGGCAGCGCTTCTGGTTTGTCCTTAAGGGGCCTTGTCTTTACTGGTATACAAGCCAACAGGTAGGCAAGGACTGGATTTTAGGAATACTGCTGCTTTGTAATTTACATTACAATGTGATGGCTTTCTTGGAATTTATTTCTTGTTAGTCTATTTTTTTCGGTTCGGGTGCTTCATGTTCATGTTGTGTCTGCTTTTTTCTTCAGGATGAGAAGGCAGAGGGTCTGCTCAATATAAGTAGCTACAGCATAGAGAGTGCTGGGGAGCACAAGAGAAAATAGTAAGAATTCATTCAGTTATGGTTTTTTCAGCATCTTAGGTTATCGGGGAATAATATTTTACTTGTGAAAATATAGTACTGGTGTGAAAGGTTAACATAAAATGTAATGGAATGTAATTTAGGCATGCTGTTTGTATTCCGAGATTTTAATGTACGGGGGAATTGAACTGTGTTCTCGTATGCATGATTTTGGTGATTGATTAATGTGTTGGTGATGTATTTTCTGCCTTTCCTCCCTAACTTTGCTCTCTCTCCACTAGTGTTTTCCAAATGTGCCACCAGAAATTTCAGAACTTCTTTTTTGCTGCTGATCATGTCAGCGACATGAGCAAGTAAGATGGAATCATTCCTCTAGACCTATTGAGTCTAAACCTATTTAATCTAAAATAATGTGTAGTGATATATTGAAGTAAAAAATGGATTGCTTTTGTTGCCCCTCCTCTGGTATAATGCTGCCATTCATTGGAAGTCCATAAACATTGTTGAATCACACCATAATGGGTTTTGGTCTGCACTGCCCCCTGGAGTTTATTTTTCTGAATACTTTGTTATGTAATGATCTCTTGTTTTGGCAACTAATATGTTGGTTCCCAAATTTGATTAGTTTTATTCTTGCTATTCAACTGTACACTTTATTTTTTTCTCTTAAGGTGGATAAACTGCATGATTACAGCCATTCAGAAGCACAAGAAGTTCCACAAGAGTCCAGATAGCGAAGAAGGTGAAAAGGAAGAGTTTTCCCAATCCGGTTCCACCATCTGACAATCTGATTGTGCTTGAGTTGTTTCTGCTGTTATTGCGCTCATATTATATATAATTAGAGTTTTTATTCATGCTGAGGTTGTGGTGTTAATACCCATGGGGCAGAAAACATTACCGTCCTCTGTGAAAACTGTTGCCTCATAATTATGTTTATAATTTCACCAGATGAGTTCTCTGGCATCAAAGAACAGAGCCTATCTGTTGCTATGGTTACCTGCTATTTAGCTGATGATAATGAAAAAGCATCACTAATGCAACATCTTTGTCAATGTTTCTTACAGAATGTTACAGTGAAACCGAGTCAGAGTCCGAATCGTCTCCTTCTCCGCGCAGGAGAAACAAGGTAAGAGCAGCTAAAGACACACAGACAGTAATAGGGGGCCGTTTAAATGACCACTGACAATCTAGGCTTTTTTCTTTGCGTATCGCAGAAAGTGCTGTCCAACACTCTGCCTCGACCAAAGGGGCGACCAACAAATAAAGTGCCATCATCGAGTCCTTCAAGAGAGGGCAGCAAAGCAACAAGTATGAAGCAAATGACTGTTTCGCAACCCATGTCTTAATGTCTCTTTTGTTTTGTTATTTTGTAAAAATGTGAAAAATGTCTTTAATCAGCACAGACTGAGATCTTGTGATTTATATTTCAATAATGTGTGAGTTGCAATATGCTGTGTTCTTAACTTTGCCCTGTGGACATTTTTTCTAACCCATAGTCGACAGAGACACTGCTCATAACATCTTAATAGAGAGAAATGTTGTCATCCAAGTCTCTCTACCCTGTTGGTATACAGTTCTATATATTTCAAGCTTGTGCCTAACTTTATTTGGTCTAACTGAGTTTTGTCTCCCTGTTCTGTCCGTGCGAGAAGCTGGCCAGGTGGATGAGATGGGCATGATGCTAAACAACCTAAAAGAAGGAGGAGTTTCTCTGATGGGCCATGAGCAGCCGTTCACGCATGACCACTTCAGGAAATCCTTCATTAGACGCAACAAGAACCCCATTATCAATGAAAAGGCACACACACTTCGAGCACTGCAAAGTACTCTGAAGGTGAGGGGGGTGGTCTTAGCCTTGTATTCTGGCTGAGTCTAACACAAGTCTCGGGTTGCTTTCTATGTCTTAGCGCAAAGCATGTGAATAAATATTGACTCAGGTGGGCTCATTTCAGTAGACTACCTTAGCCTAGACTTAAACCAGCTTGTGAAACAACTGAATGCCTCCATGTCTTTGGTTTTAAAATAATTTAGCTCTTTTCAGGAACATCTTTCAGTCTACTTTTAAGATTTTATTTTTGTTACGAGTTGTCCTTTACAAAAGTTTCGTTTAAATGTTCGGACTGGCTGTCCGGCTCCCTTTTCAGGCTTGGCAGCACAGTAACTATAGTTGCTCTGCGTTGCTTTGTAGGCCAAAGAAGCAGAGCTGCTGCAGATCAACAAGATACTGGACGACTCCGATCTGACAGCTTCAAAGTACCGTCGGTGGAAGGAGCAGAACGAAGAACTAGTTCAGGAAATTGAGAGACTTGCTACTCCTAAAACCTCCAAAGCAGGAGGAGACATCACGCCAGCCCCTGACACGCCTGCGGAGGAGGTTGCCTTGGAAACCATTGCTAAGGAAACAGCCGCGGCAGAAACAGAAGGTGCGCAGAGACTGAACCTTCTGAGCCTCAGCGATGGTGAGCAGCTAGTTGACGCAGAGCCGTCTGATGTTCTCCTGGAGATCCCACCGGGCTCGCCGAGCGCAGAGTCCAGCCCAGTGTTGGAACTCTCTCTGGGATCGCTGCAGGACTCCATAAACAAACAGCTGAGCGAAATGGCAGAGAAAGGAGAGGCTGCAGAACATTACTTCTACATTTGAGATGAAGCCGGAGCAGGGCAGAATCGCCAGTTCAAAGCTGCTTTGTTTATTTAAGTTAGACGAATAAAAATAGCTGCCGTACAGAACTCTGATATGGCTGTGATTCACCATGTTTTCTGCTGACATTCACCTGAGAGGATCGGTTCAAATCATCACTCAATCAGTGCCCTAATCAAGTATGTCGGAGAAAAGCAACAGTGCAGACTTGACAAGTTTACAAACGCAACAGGATGTATTTATGAGAGAAAATATCAATTAAGACGTGGAATTCAATGACAATTTCTTATGTAAGATAGAAGTTCTGTAATATGAGATGTAAATATAGATTGACTACAAATACAGTTGTTATTTGTTTATTGACCTGTCCTAAATCATGCAAATTAATTTTATTTGCAAATGCTGTATGATGAAGATTTTGGACTATTATCACAAACGAATTACTGACATACACAGGACCGTTTTCATCACACCAAGGTGGGAAATGACGCGGCTGAGAGAAGTCATGCACTCTCTTTTTTTATCCTAACGGAAATAACGTGCAACATGTGAATACACTTCATATACCTTTATTTCAGCCACTCAGGATGTGTCAAACCACGACTAAGTCACTCCACAGGTTTATGGCTGAATGGCACTAAGGAGCTCCTGGTCTTGAGATGTCACTCTCCGTTAGTTACTTGCCAAACATCTTTGTTTGAAACGTAATTGTTAATTTGCTTATCTTTTCAGTGCGCCGCATTTACAGCCGGCATCTGTTCTCGTAACAAGGTTGTTTCTGCTAAATCATTGGGTATGATTGATGTGACCTTGCCAGCTGCGCTAACTGGGATTTTACTCTTTGCCTCTCAGCGTTGTGTTTTAAGTCACCACATCGACTGTAACTATAACTTGTCAAACACAGTGTTTATTGAACATTTGCAGAAGTGATGAATAAATAATATAATGATGTAATATGTGCTTTGCATAATTTCTTGTTAAAAAACATATTCACTAAATGATGGTGCTCTTTCTTTTCATTGAACCCTACATTAGCATTTCTCTTAGATTCTGTTGAATATAAGAGATTTTTTTTCAAAAGAAGAAAAAAACATATTCAATGGCGATGTCTCGAGAAAAACAGAATCATGCAGCACTCGATGGCATTGAAACGTCTTTATTGGATGCACTGTGAACCAACGAGTAAGAAAACACAAAAAAACAGGGACAAATCATTTAGAAGATTTTAACAGCCTTACACAAACCAGAACACTTCCACCTCTAACTTTCACATGATTCTGGATGTAATTCCACACTCACTAAGCAAGTGATACAAAAGTCTTAACCACCCGGTGAAAATATGCTTATTCTGACAATTGGAACATCAGAAATGGTATACGTAGATTTCAAAAATGTTTTTTAGGTTTTCATTTAGGACTACTTGGCATTTTTTTCAAAAATGTAAAGAACATTTTATTTTTTAAATCCCATTTTCTGTAAACACGTAACAATACAGCAAAGTATGACTAGTTCAAATTTCACTGCAATGATGTCTAAGACCATTCTTAACACCCTGATATCATCTAAGAAATGTATTCTCATAACTTACCATTTATAGTTAGCTTTTTACAGTGTTGCTCTGATACATAAATGTTATGTTTTGGCCCCACTGTACAAAGTTGAAAGGCATCACAATGGAATTTTTTAATCACGTTTCACAGCCGTTTTGCAGTTAAAGGCATTTGAAGTTCTAAAAAAGATCTCTTTCTCTGTAACATTCAACACTTGATTTATACACTGAATTGTTCAAAAAAGGAGTTACATACATTATGTTCATACCGGTGGAAAAGTTCAGTTATCTATGATAAGCACTTAGTTTATCACTCCTCTTGGATTGAGACATTCATCAGCTGACATATTTGTGAATGAAAAATTAGTTAAAGTTGAACTCTTTCCACACATTTGTGAGTTCTAACAACTGACTTCATATACATCCATGTCAGTTTTGGTTGTTATCTCTGGACACGAGCGACAAGCAGGGCAGATAGTTTGCTCCGGGCGGGACGGGCATGTCGGACATCTTGGTCTTTTGAAGCTGAACAGCAGTGCACTGCCTCCCAACAACTGTAAAAACGAACCCAGCCATCCGAAATAGAGCGATCCTGCTGCGTGCAGGCTCAGCTGGGCTGACCTGTGATTAGCCATCCCCTGACTTGGATCCATCCCAAGTCTTTTGAGGTTATGGGTGTACACTCCCAACGCAGTCAGACTCAGCAGCCCAGCACTCACCACCAGGAGTCCCCCCGAGGCTGCCACCCCTCTCAGAGGTAGATCTGTCCAGCAGCGGACCCCGATGCAGGCCAGAACAATGCCAATCCCGCTCAGGAACAAGGAGGTGAGCACCAAGCCCTGAGCCAGACGAACCCGTGGGTCTCTCTGGTACGGTCCAGCAACTGGCCAACACTGCTTGAGCTCGGAGTGCTCCACCTGCATACAGCTCTCCCACAGGCCATCGGAGCGGAGCAACAGCAGCGCCTCCACTGAGCGGGACTTGGAACCCACCCCTTGACCTTTCGCTCCCACTCGGAGGAGAAACCCAGACCCGGCCATGCTCAGTCGAGCCTGGCCTTCTCTCCACTGCGGGGTGATGGCAGCCGTGAAGACCAGGGCCAATCCCAAAGGGGCAAACACGATTCCCATCACCATGGAGGCTGGAGTGTGCATCATTTTCTAATGAAAAACTGAGTTTCTTTCTAAATCGTCAAGGTTCGTAGCCGATAATCTTTTGAAAAATAAAAATGTAACAATGCTCAATGTTTTTCTCAAAAATGCAAACGAGCAAAATGAAACCGGATGGGGAGGCAGCTTGTTGATCAGGAATCAATGTGCCGTGATACTGTAGAGTTGCATTGATTACTCTTGAAAAAAAAAAGGAGGAAAGAAACAATGCATCACAGTTGCAGAAAAAGTAATTCAACAATTATCAGACTGATAAAGGCTTACCTTAAACCTCTTGATCAAAACTCCCCGCTTTTAGTTGCAGACTCTTCACTCTGACCGTCTGAATATGAAAGAGACAGATTTTTATAGGAAACATCGTCCATCAGGTCAAAGCAATTGAACCAAATACAGAAACGATTAACAGAGTAAAGAAGTGTGAAGATGACTGGGGTGAGAAAACGGAGGTGAGACTGCCTTCACTGCTCCCACACTGGACAGGAAAAAGAACCAGCAGTCGATGCATGTCTCAGTTGCTAGGATACAATAACCTGGCCAGTCTCAATGTGACAGCTTGTTTGTGCGTAGTTGTATTAATGAGAAGACCTTGCTACACTCCTCTCTATGTGGTGCTGTTTGCAAACATTGGAATCAGTGGGTTCATCTGTGAGTGTGCAAAGGAGGGAGCTGCTATCTAAATGTCTGATGACAGATGGTCAGATGTGACCTTGGAAGAATCTTGTTGGGCTCGTAATAACGTCAGGCCAGTGTCTGAATGCAGAGTGAGATCATCTCCATTGTGTCCATCCAGATGAGGGAGGAGAGAATGTCCTCAGGAAGGACAACATGAAGAAACGCTGAACCGATCATACTGACACAATCAATATGATTTCTGTCAAGAAATATTGAATTAACATCTTAACAGAAAGAAAATATCTTTACTAAAAGGACTGTCCACAGAAGTTTAGAGAAAAGCTCAACATTTTCTTTAAAGGCTTTGTATGGGGCATTTTTACTTATACAGGCAAAGATGCAGCACCCATATGTTCAAGAAAAAAAACTATTTTATTCTGAACCAATGATAGATATGGTTTAGATGTATCTATATCTGAATATTATATGACATTTTATACAAAAACTTGAAAGTTAATGAGTTTTCTAGAATTTTTTTACTTTAACTTGAATTTTGTTCAAACATTTAACACAAGTTCGGTACTTCCAGATACTATCAAAAAAGAAAGAAAACGTGAAGTGAACAAGAGGGCGAACCTTTAAAGCGTTTTTATGTTGGATAATTATAGTTTAATGTACATTTAACCTTATACATCAGAATCGGAATCAGAAATACTTTGATAATCCCAGAAAACAAAATATAAAAAATATACATGCAGACTTTTACAAACTGATTAGGTAATTTGATGACATCAAACCACAATGTAATGATAATATTTATATTATAAAACTAGCCAAACTTGCACTGTAAACCTTTATCTTTCTTATTTATGGATCATGTCAGCTTTTGACATTAACTAAAAAGAAAATCATGGAGAATCCTTCATGACCCCGCTGTAATCTGTTTTCTGCCAGGACACAATTCAATATAGATTATGAATGTCAGCAGAGAGCAGCAGGCAGTTAGCTTGAAAGCACCAACAAATGATTTCATGTCATTTATTCAATTTAGAAATAATTTGTTAATGGGAGACAGAACCTTGAAACTCTAAAATAATACACAAATGCAGCAGAAAAGGAGTTAAACCAAAAAATATAACAGAAAATGATGCAAGAATTCTTAGTGATGTTCCCCTTTTTAAAATGCATGTCAGCATGGGTACAAGCATGAGTATATTAACACCTACCCATGCTTGTATGTTGTGATAATTGATAATTATTTCCTGTTTTGTGGCTAGAATGTTCAGTGTACTGACGGGAAAAAAGAAGATGACAATAGTATCTGACATAGCTGTGGTATGAGTAAATGCTATTCTTTCCATTTGTAAACAAAATTTGTTTGTCACTCTGGTTAAAATGGGGTTACTATGTGTTTTATGATTATGTTGTCCCAAACAAATGATAAACTATAACAAATTAGCTGCCATCCTAGCTGATGTCCATGTACAGACAAAATGTTTGGGCTATCCAAGGTGTTTGACTTGTTCCAGTTCACAACTGACAAAAGGAAAATCACTGAAACATCTGCAGCGTAGCTGGCAATAACCTCAGAACTATTATGAACTGTCTGAAGACTCCATCCTGTACAGACGTATTCAGAGCAAAATACAAAAACACGAGTGCACACACTGATACATGAAGTCAGTTACTTACCATTCAGGAGGGCTTCCGAGCATCTCACTGCAGACTGCTGCCTGCATCGCCGCTCTCGTCTGAATGGCTAATATTTTCTTCTCTTTTTTCTTTTCTTCTCAACAGATGGTGCAGCCACCTCCTCATCATTCTTGCTCCCTTTATCTTTTGGTGTAGCCTTGCTGCCACAGTTTTCACGAGTGCTTTAGCCTCCCGATTCTCTCGGTCCTCATGTTTCTGTCCTTGTGCCTGTTCCCCCCTTGTTCCCTCCTCTTCGCCTGCCTGTCTGCTCCTCTGTCTCTCTCTTTCCCTCCGCATGCATTAGTATCTCTGTCCTGCTAAATGATGTCTGTGTAGTATTTGGAGTGCCTTTCCATTTCAGTGTCACTAAATAGGAATAGTGAGCTCCCTGTTGAACGTGGACATACTGATTACTATAGAGCATAAAAGCTGGAAGAAATATAAAAAGATGTATTTTTTTTATCATCGTGCATTTGACATCCTGTTAAATTAGTTGAAGGCTTTATAGCTATAGCTCCTGGTAACTTGGTTTATATAAAGTAACTTTGTTTCTTTGGGACTGCCTTATTGTCCTTGGACAGTGCAATTGGTCCAATGGTAACCCTGAAATGTTCATATCAGTGATCTATACCAGGACCACTCATATTAACAATGCATAATAAGAGTGGACATGTCTCATGCTGATGAGTACAGGCTTTTGTTTGAGCTGATTTTAAGATTAGATGTTCCATCCTTCCAATATGCACTTCATCTCCAAAATCCTATTGAACCTCAGTGCACAAGTATCTCACATCTTTATTGTTTAATCTGTTTTTGGAATGATCCTCAACAAGATGAAAAAGGAGCGTTTTATGAAATAATCAAGACAAACACCAAAAACCTGAGATACATTTATTTTATTTTCATACAAAAAGGGAAATATATGTCGAATAAGGTTGACATAGCAATGTTATGATAATGAAATAATACAGGGATACATGTTTGATTTGAAATGATGCGTTAAGTAAAAAGAAAAAAAATCCTGCAAGCTTTTCCACACACGTATACATGAAAGCTATGAAAGGTGTGTGTTAGTTTGAACTGCTTTCAGTAAATCTCTGTGGTTATACCATACAGTTAGGAAATGTCCGAAGCAAGAGGCTCAACAATAACCAAGGAAAAACGGATTTTCTGTGGTTTTATGTGTGGAAATGTTTAACGTCAGTTTTTGAATGGTGCCTGATATTTGGCAGTATTATTCAGGAAATTAACCAAGTGAAAAACATGAATCTCTGTGTTATGGGTCTAAATGCAATGCACCAATGGACTTCTTAAAGAAATGATGAGTACACTGAAAGCAGCAAAAGTTGCAGCCTTTAAAGATGCTTAAAAAAAGGTCTGAAAAATTGAAATTCATAGCAACTTGAGGAAAACTGATCAAGATATGCATGTATTTGTTTTATAAAAAAGGTATCATAATATATATTTACATATGTACAGTCTGGTTAGCATAATGTCTCTTACATTAACATATTAAATTCAGGCAAAAAATAAGAACTGGTCTTTGAGGGAATCCCAGAATAAACATTTTTTTAAAAACATCACATCTGAATATTTCAAGCGACTTATTCAGTCCAGTTCCCTTCCTAGCTTTTGGCAAGGCACAGCCTTCATTGTCTCCGATGAGGCAGTGTGTTTAGATCATTCTGATTGTCAGCTGTGTTTGTGCTTCCTTCAAAAGATTTGTTTTCATACTTCAACAAGAGTAACTTGGAACTGACCAGCGGCCTCTTCAGAAATATCAATGAGGAAGGCTGACTGGTTGGTGTAGTGTTCAATGATGTTATCATCCATGTTGACAAAGATCCTATAGGGAAGACATGTAAAAATAAAGAGTTACTTAAGAAATTCCTACTTACAGTGAATAGAAATAGGTAAAATGCATCAAGTAACTTAAAAAAAACACACAGATATCCCCTGAATTAAATACAATGAACTGAACTAAAAGTGTTGTGCTCTTTCTTCATTGAAGCCAGTTTTGAGGAAGGTTTATTATTGATAATTAGGTGGGTGATACATCACCTGCACAGGTAGAGGTGATAAATCGGGTCATTGTCTGTTTTCATCCTCCCAAGCACTAACCTTTAAGTCTTTAATGCTTGAACTAACCAGCAGCTCACGCATTTAGCCCGCAGGGACAGGGCTGATTAAATACGAGAGCTAAAGAAGAGGGAGGGAACTGCAGGGGGAATGTAATCCAACCTGTTAGCTTAGCTGCTCCCCCTGCAGTGATAGCTGCCTGTAAGCAGTAGGAAAATCACTCAGAGGTGTTTCAACTCCCATAAAATGGTCCTAAATAAAAGCCCTCTGATCTGGCCTGATGTCATACAGTGACATGTCTTCATCGTAAGTTAAAAAGTTTGGGCTTTTAGCTTTTAAAAAAATTCAAACAGATATAAAAAGGCCCTTTGGAAATTCTGTTAAAGATCCTTTATTCAAGTCTTGCCAACTTTAAAAGCTGGTCATGACTACAATATCTGTTTTTCCAAGTAGATCTCCTTAAACTTTATCTAATTATCAGACAACCCCCAATTCCCTTTTCATCTAAACAGAAAACAAAACATAGGGTCTTTTATAAGCCCCAACAGTGTCCAAAACACCTTCTAGAAAGTAATATGACCTTTGTTTGATATTTTACTGTTTCTAACTTGATCAGCAACCTTAATCTGGTTATTTAAGACCTCTGAGGACATCATCTACCGATAAATCCATTTTAAAGGCACTTCCTGATGCTGTCAGGAGGTAGAGTTATGAAAACAAAAATTCGTGACAATCATGAATGACTCATCAGTAGGACTTATGAAATCTTTTCATCCTCCTTCTTTTGGAGGAACAACAATTAACACATTCCAGAAGGCAGAGCCAACTACCAACCTGCCAACCCGGTCTGTCAACATCAGCTTTCATAGAGGAGGTTGAGATTGAAGCTACAAATAAAACTCAGACTTTGTGCAATTCGTGTATGTCAGGTGCACCTTTTAGTTTGTCCCCTGTGTCAAGTCAGTGGCACGGTAAAAATAGTAAGATACTTACCCTCTTTTGCATTTTTTGTAGATTTTCCCAATGGTGTCTTTTTGCATGCAATACTTCTCTGAGATCTGAGAAAAGGAAACATATAGGAGATAACAGTCAGCACGATCCTCTGTAGAAAGAAATTAAATACTTTCTGGAATGTACTAAAGAAACCAACGGGGCTATTGATTCCACTCCCAGACACCTGATCGGATCAAACAAGAATGTATTTTTCTGAGTATCTTTGCATTGATAATGTGATACTTACAGCTTCCCGTAGGCCCGACAGTGTTGGTGAGCTGAGCATGAGAGCATCAAACACTTCTTCTGTGCCTGTCCTCACGTACAGCAGAACTGTTAAAGGGAAAATAAATGATCATTTAGCCTTCAAATAAAATAAAAAAAACTACTGGCTCATTGTTGTATTTTTAATCATGATTTTCAAAAATACCTCTTTGTGGGTCCTCTTTGCGAGCTTGCTTGTTGGGGGGAGAGTTGTTCTGGTCTCTGTCTGGATACAGTCTCTTCATACAATTCCTGACGGGACAAACCAACATCCATATTAGAAAAAAAGCAGGCACCACGAGTCAGTTTGAAAGTGACATTTGATGACAACCCAAAGCCATTTTGCTTTAGCAGTGATTACCTTTCTGTTTCGTCCTTAGGAGTGACCTGGTGAGACAGGAAAACAGACAGAAGACCAAAGATCTGATTAGGCACCACTTCACTGATAAAGACATTGCTTAATAACCCCCTTCCTACCATTGTCTGTGTGTGATACCTTATAAAGAGGAATGTTATCATCACTTTAAGCATGCATTTCCCATGACCTCTAACACAGCCGCATAAGCATGGGCACAGATGGTGAGACACAGATAGGAGAATCTCATATTTAATCACACTGTCTAATCAGTGTTTACGCTCAGTCATTTACGATTGAGAGTGTTCTATTTAAGCGACAACAAATCAAGACTTGTTGCGTGTAAAATGAATATACATGTAACTGTATACTCCAAAAGATTATCCTTCACTAGCCCCTGAGTAGCCCGAAAATGACTACATATTGCGTGAAGACTGACCTGTCTGAACAGCAGTCTCATCTCACTGTTTTGCTAGTGTGATGAGTGAAAGACATTAGGAATATGAGGGTGGTGTGCTGTGTATCAGGTGTGGGATGTTACACCAGCTGTGTGTGTGTGTGCGTATTTTCCTGCAAGCCATCATAGCCTAATCTCAGTGTCAGCATCTGCAGCGGCTTGAACTTGTTCCTAGTTTCGACTACAATTAGCTCATCTGATCTGAGGTCTGTGTTTAGCTTCACTTTTGCTGGCATCACCAACGCCCCTAACACCCCCAGGTTCCCAGACCACTTTTCCCACTGCATACTTTCCCACCATTTTTTCCTGCTCTGCTCATGCCTGTACCATCCCCTGCGGGGATGAACAAGTGGAGAGCGGAGGAAAATAGAGTAAACAGCAGTGCGGTTAAAAAGAAACCTACTATGCGCTGTAAGCTGGAGAAGTGTGTTTGTGGAATGAAGAGAACTGGCGGGGTGATGTGGTCTTCAAGGGTCTTGAAGAAAGTGTGCTCAGTGCCAATGGAGCCGTTCATTAAAGGCTTAGCTGGAAGCAAAACAGAGGGCAACATTAGATTTAAAAGTCTTGGCTGGTGAAATGAGCGTGGCGCAGAGGAATAGCACGGTCACACTCACTGCTTGCATCACTCATATTCTTCCCCCTCCTCTTGGATTTCTTCCTCTCCTCATCTCGCATCTTCCTCTCTGCACCCTGAAAACACACAACGATACGTTAAAAATGACGGTCCCTGTCTCTGCAAAGAGCAGTTTGTTTTTTCTTTGGGTAAGGTGAGTGAATTAAAGACTAGTACCTTGTCACAGAAGATCTTGATCTGGCAGGCAGCTCTGTGTATGAGTTGGTTAGATCCTGAGCTGAAGTCATAAGTGTCAATCTGGAGGTTTAGAGGCAGGCCTTTCACACCCTTTTGAGAAGAGAAGTCTGTGCTCAAGGAGTTGATCCCAATGTATACCTAGAAGGACAAAATTAAGATGTTATTATTTTGCATGTTCATTTTGAATGTGTCCACATTGAGGAGACATGAATCAACAGCAAAGTGGAACACTTTCTGAAGAGAGACCCCGTTTGATGTAAGATGAGGAATGCCTGCAGTCACAATTATCCAAATCTGAAAGAAAAAGGTCTTCTTTGGAACCTTTCAGTCACAAATAAGTTAGCATAAGCTGTCATGGCTTTTGTCAAATGTGGTGACAGTGGCCTTGGGGGAAAACACATTGCTTGGATTCCTCTCCTCCCTCTTCAACCACTCCTTCCCTCCACCCCTCCTTTTACCACGATCCTTTCGTTTCCAGTAAAGTTCCACCTGTTCTATCACTTCTCCATTCCACTGACCTTTCCTAACACTGCAGCTTTTTTAATTAAAACATTGGTGTATGTTAGAATGATGGTCATGTTTCTTCAGACTTCTCTTTACCTTTGCCTCCTCGTTGGGGTTCCACACAAAAGAGAGAGCATTGAAGGCCACCTCTTCTATGTTGCTGATGCCACTGAACACTTCCTTGTAGTCCGCTGTTGAAAAGACATCAGCAAAGAAAGTGTTACTTTTTTTCTGAAGAAAGGTCTGGTCAGGTATCTCTTAACATCATGATTATGTTTTATAACACAAAAAAAAAAAGTAAAACAGAAAAACTTACCAATGTCAATCACCCTCTGCTTGACGGTTGGTTGCCGTGCATGCCAGTGGTTCCAGAAGCGAAGCTGCATTTCTGGGGTCTTGTCGTTCTCAAAGACAGCCATCACCACTGTCTGAAGTGACAGAAAAACTCAAATTAAGTTTATTTGTTTGTAATTCTCCACTACTGCTGACATTTCCCGAATGACCAACCTTCCTCTAAAGACCAACGCTTCATTTATCACCCCAAATCCCTCTTTTCTTCACGACTGTCATCATTTATTTGCAGTGAGTTTGCACTCATTTGTGTATGTTCTTATCCTCTGATTCGACTGACAAAGAAGGAGGCTGTAAAGTTCACCACACCTTCCCCCTTACTTGTTCTCTCTTCTTTTTTTTTAACCACAAAGACTAATGTGCCTGAGCTGTTCTGCGCTCTTGCCTCATCTAACTGCCACTAGAATGAATTACATGGGGCAGGACTGTCATTTTCGTGGTGCCAGCCCAGTCCACAATGTCTCAGTAGGGAATTAGTCATAGAAGGAGCTGGTTCCATGGGAGGGACTGCTAGTTGGGAAGGACTGATCTGATGACACGCGATAAATCTATGAACTATGTGGTCAACGGAAAACATTACGAAGCCTTTGGACAATGACACAACAATGTGAACAGGATATCTATCAAAACAATCACTGTAAAAAAACTCTTTCTTGGATCAATTCCAAGACTATGACTCACCTTGACTTTTGTGGCGGTGAGGTAGGCATTGCTGTCCACTCCATGGAGAGTGATGGGGTAGAACTGGCCCTTGTTCAGGTATACCATGGGTAGTTCGCTAGACTTGTGTGAGGAAGCTGCAGGAGCTCCAAGGGAGAACTGGAGTTCATTTCTGAATCTTTCTGGTGGGGAGCTGGCGTAGGAGCCTGAATAGACTGGGCTGGGATGGCTTTCAGGAAAATCGCTGTAGGGAAGATTCTGATATCCACAGAGGTCATATGTATTAGTAAGACATAGGGGGAGAGACCTGGAGACAGGAAGTGGAGTTCAACTTTCAAATAATCCCATCAAGCTCACCTCGGTGCCGGAATCTTGGAAAACATTGTTCTCTGGCCACTTCTGCAGCAGGGAGTCAAAGATTATATTCAGCTCCTGCTTGTCATATGTGTCTGCCACAACACTGGTCAGGGTGGTGTATGAGTCTGAGGCTGTAGGAGCTGAAATGGCGGTGATCTGTTTGGATCCCAAAATCTCCTGGGGATTTGATGACGGAACACTTTCAGAGAGAATCTTCATGACATTGGCAGAAGACTCAAGGGAAACAATGTCATTGGTGTTGGTTAGGGTCCTGTCAAGTTGGAAAGAGCAGAAGAGTTTCAGAGAGAAATTCAAAACTGTAAGATCATTTTATCTCAGATTACTGACTGTGGCATGCCTTAAACATTTCAATGTTCTAAAGATGACCTGTGAAAATGTACAAAGGTATGTGGAAGACCTAATTGTGTGTCAACACAGCTACTGCAAAAAGCAGCTCAGAGAAAGGGAGGTTCGAGTCTGGGTGGGAACTATTTGTTTTTTAATTGAGCCTTTTTTCTTCCCTGTGTTTAACTTTCTCCATTTAAAATGTTTGAGGGGACAACACTGTGCCCCAACAAAGGCTCTTTCTCACCAATCCAACTACAGGGTGGAACAGGGAAGACCAAGGGATCTGTCCCCCTGTTGTGAAACTCTGTTAAAGAGCCAGGCAGTGAGAAAAAAGAAGCTGAGAGGTGGACATTTATCTAGTTGACTCTGTTTGACTTGGGGATTACCCACTCACAAGTGTATGACCTTCCTGAGTGCCTTCCTTTCTCTTTTTCAATAACGATTTTTTAAAGTTTTATTAAGCTAAAAGAGATAACATTAACTAATTTTGTTTCTGAATCAATCAGACTGGTGCAGACATAAGTGCCTATGATTTTTTATGAGTTTACCTTTCTCTACTTTTCTTAGTTTGAAAACATTTACTAGCAAGTGTAAATGTGAAATCAACTTGATGTCCTTTTAGATATATTGAAACAAAGACACAATCATGTTGCAGCTGGAATATTTAGCAAAGCGGATCCAGAAGTTAGAAGACTCACCTTTCTGTTGGCTTGCAGGTATTGGTAGTGCGATTGCAGGCAACAGACTTTTGTTCTTTATGGCTCTGGAAAAAGATTAAAAATTAAGGGATTACACTTAAATTAAAGTTGGTTTACTTCCTTATGAGCAGAATTGTATGGTTATTTACCCTGCACTGGTCGTGGAGCATTGCTAAAGCTGTCAGATTGTCTCCTGGGTGGAGTCTGGGTTTGGAGTGGTTCAGTTCTGGAACAGGGTTGTCCATGTAGGACCAGGATTCCATCATGTAGTTTGTGTAATGGTTATAGTTGAAGTTCTCGCTCTGAAAGACCAGTCCCAGGGTCCTACACATCCAAGGGAAAAAATAAGAGGGATTTATCAGACTAACAGTATTGCTGAAAAATCCATACATGCAATAAAAAGTAACAACTGTAATAGCTTAAAAAGTTCAGTTAGGCAATTGGACATGAAGTTGCCTAACTGAACTTTTCAAGCTTGACCATGATCTGGATGACTGAGAATCTTCACAGATATGTTACAACTGTAATAGTTGATTACCGGCAACAATCCACGAGGCAAACACATTTTTCTTCAGAAGCAATAATGCCTCTTGGTTAGACAGTGTTTAGTGTTAGACAGTGTTTGACAGAGTTTGACAGAGCAGAAGTAAGCTGGAGTTTAACTACAACAGTGCCTGAGCCTCGGAGCACTGCACATACTTGCCCTTTAGCATGAAAGGTTTCGATTGCAAAACCTCAGTGCTGAGTAACATCCCTCAGGAACAGTGATGTCAAAAAAAGTTTTAGTTTGCAGAGAATGCATGAGAACATACATTCACGCGTGTGTACGTGTGTGATGTGAGTTCTAGTGCAGGTATTCTTTTAGGCATTGTGAAAGGGGACTTCATTCGTATTTACAGAGGAGATAACAAGATTTTCTCTCTTCGTAAACAGAAACCCACAACTGTCACCAAGGTAAGCTCTGGTTTTCCATTTCAGTTGTAATAAACAAAAAATACACCCTCGGAATTTAAGGATCTGATTTGTTTGGAAAGACTCATTGCCACATAGGATTGTAAACATTAAGCATGCCAGGATGAGCCCTCTTTGGAATTAGCTGGAAGTGACTGAGGAACAAATAGCTGCTGTTTAGCCTGGATAAACAGTTAATTAAATGTGCTGACAGAAAGGCAAAAATGCAGCTATTCCCAAAGCCGAAATGGAGAGAATGGATTTTTTTTTTATCGGTTAAAAATATTCTAAAATGGAAACTGCGCTTGAAACGGATGCAAAAAATCTGGTAGTGATGCACCTGTCTTTTATACTGTACATGCTTTCTATACACAATAGGTAGATTATCTTGCAAATCATTTTTAAAACCAGTTAAGACCATTATCTTTTTGTGAAGGTGGGCTCCAATATACTGTAAAGTTTCACTTCTAAGTAATTTAATGCATCACATACTGTCATGACCCTTCGTCTCAGTCTAACACCTCAAAAGAGGATTATTATTTCCCGGTCTCCTTTGTATATGTTGGCCCCCAGGTTAGTGACAAAACAAGCCGAAACAGAACCATTCCAACCACAACTCTGACTGTGTGTGTGTGTGTCAGTCCATATCAATTTCCCTGTAAAACATCTCCTTTTAAAAAAACGGGGATGTTTCACATGTGGGTCCCATTGCAAAAAAAAAGAAAAGAAAAGAGATCAAAACTAACAGGAGGGGTTCTTTCCCCCAAAACATAAGTATTTCATGAACTATTTACTGTATTAAACAATATCCAAACTACGACAAAAAGCCCACTTTGCAGCAAACAATGCATTCATACAGAGCATATCTCCAAGCAGACTACTGTAAAAAAAAAAGAAAAATCCTGAAAGAACTTACTCAGTCTCTTTGGTCATGTCTTCAATCCAAATCAGTCTTAACAGGTTCCTTTTTATCCAACCCTCTGTGGCTTGTATGTGCTCTTCTCTCTGTGTCTGTTCAGCAGGGAAGAGGAGTGACACACAGATGAGTGAAATGGAGTGATTCCTCTGAAGAGGGCCCAGATTTATTTCATGACAGCACAGAGATTTCTCCTCCCCTCGGATTGGCTGTGAGCTGTGCAACAGGTGTCTGATAGGACAGGTGGGGGGGACAGTTTCCTCCAAGAGTATGAGAGTGTGCAGTCAGATCACTTAGCATGACAATCCAAGGCAGGAGTATTGTGAATTGCATTACGGTATCAGATAAAAGAGTGAGATTGGGGATCCCAGAAGTGTGAAGTGTTTGGTAATGATTCTGAGAAAGACAATAAAGGGAAGGGACACCAATTTAACATGTTAATAGTTTTTCAGTATCATTTTCCACTCTCTCCTTTTATCCCCATTTCATTTAAAGTTTTGGTTCTTTAGTTTCTGGAAATCACAGATACAAGAACCATGTTCTTATGGAAACCTATTTTGTGTCCTCTTGCAAACATACAAACTTTTAATGTTATCAGAAGTAAATTTTCAAGTCCACGATTCTTTTTTATCCTTAATATCTTATCTTTATATCTTTAACATATATATATATAAATATTTAAATTTATATACATATATATATCCTTATCTTCATATTAGCCATGTTTGAACTTACACAGCAAAATAATTAATCAGTACAGATTTAACAGACTGTTAAATTAATTTACAACTTTTGATGATTCTTTGATGTCGTTTACAATATGGTTGCCCTTTATGTGATTATATATGTAATACTTTTTATCTGAAATCTATTAATGGATAACACAATCTCGTAAAGAATAACACAAAAATAAGAGGATATAAAACAATTAACTCTACTGTCATTGTTACAGTAAACATCATGTTATAAATGAGAATTATTGAGAAAGCACTCATTTTGATTTTGTTTTTGAATTTGCAAGTTCAACTGTGACATGTCTTAGTTGAGAGAACAGTGGTACTGAAAAGGAACTGGGTGTGCAAATAATGCCAAGAAGACATGCTTGCTTTCACTATGACTTGGCATTAACAGAAACAAATCAACTCTGTGGCTACCGGGAAGTCAAGAAAAGGTCTTATCATCAATCACCCACATACTCAGGATTTGGTCAAACTGAAAGGAGTATGATTGTATGTTGTCTTTGTATGTTCATTTGTGTATGTGTGAGCTGACACCTGAGGGAATTTGGCGTGGTAACACACTGGGCTGCGTGCTGTGCGGCTTGCCTACATGCTCATGCACACCCTTAAAAAACATTAAACACACAAACACAAAAAAGCCCAAAGGGCAAATTGGCTTTAAATTAATAAAGAAAGAAGGAGAGAGATATGCCTTTGACATGCCTTCACGTCTCTGTGGCGCGTACGTTTTGGAAAGAAAAAAGCAATAATTCAAGCTAATGCTAAGCATTCAGAGAAAATATAAAAGGTATGACACCATGATGGCTAAAATTGTGCTTAAATTCTTTGAAGTACTGATTCATTTATCTGAAATAAATAGTTCAGACGTTCCCTTGTTTTTTATCAGCGCTTTAAGTAGATATGAAATTCAAATGTTCAGTGGCAAATGTGAAATAAAGTATCTGTTGTTGTTAATGAAAAAGGGGAAGAATTAGAAAAACAGACTTTTTTTGTAAATATCTTTGGAAAACTTACTTTTTAACTCCCACCTTTTATAATTAAAAAAAGCAAACCCAATGGGTATTCTTTTTGTATTCAGTATTTTCTTAGGCGTCTCCCCAAATTACCATGTGACATTTTATGTATCACATGAGTTTTTCACCTTTTCAACATAGCTTTGAGTTTACTTACAAAATGCACTGCTTTATAATTCCCTACACTTTAAAAGTGTAGAAAAATACTTTTTACAATCCAGTGCCTATGGTTGAAATTAAGAGTTGATAATGAATGAAAGATACAAATAAAATGCATTTTTAAAAATCTTTGGAAATTTGTTATCTTTCATTTTTTGTAGATTATCACTCTATGATATAATTAATCATGCAAACAATTTCCAACTAAAGTCTGAAAGTTCCAATGAAATGCCCAGTAATTTTCCAAATGGATTAATGTAAAGAGAAAAAATACAGTTTGAAGGAGGAGTGAATTTCAGGTAAAATGCCAAATCAGTAAAACAGTTTCAACATTCATGGCTGGATTAAGAAAAGCAGTAAAAACCACAAGAAGCAGCTAAAAAACACACTGTTTAAGATGACCTCTGAAATTAAAAAGAAAAAAATCTTTATCTTTATGACGTTGATTTCTTTGTACAAACATTACTAATCCTAACACAAGCTCTCTTAAAGTTAATTCTCTGTTGAAGTACATACAAGTCAATGTGTTTCCAGCCTCGCAGAGACCTTAATTCTTATCTGACTAGTTGGAAAACACGAGAAAATTCAAGATGGATAAATGTGAGATAGGAGCACTGAGGTGCTTCTGTCTGCTGTGTGACTGTTGTGTAGTACGCTGTTGAATGTGAGCATGCAGCCACGCATGGTAGCATACAAACAGACGTCAGCACAGGCTCTATACGCACGACTGCTGCTGAGAAGGGAGGACTCTCAACACCTTTGTCCCTCTACTATATGTCTCTCATTGTCCTTCCCCTTTCTCCCACTCATTCATCCTTTAACCTCCTTTTCCTTTTCCCACTTACTTTCCCTACTCTACCGTTTGGCTAATCATTCTTATCTGCTCCCACATTTAAATTCAATTTCAACCTGACCTAAGTCATAAATACACTCACCTTCAGATTATTATGCCACTATCATACAGGATGAAGACATTTATGGAAATGGAAATGAACCCTTTTGCTCTCTGGCTGATCTTTCTCATCCATCCAGCCCTCTGTGCCTATCTCTACATCTTTTTCACTGTTCTAATCTCTGCATCTACACTAAATGCACGACTCATCATGGAGGTATGTGTGCTGAAGGTTGAGAGAGATACAAGAACCCTGGGGCCTACTGCTCTCATTTGGCTTCTCAGGCTAGGAAATAGAATGCACCTGTTACCAGAAGCTTCCCTCATGTTCACCATCACTTCTGCATAACTGCCAGTATTTTTCTTTTAATTCTTTCCGGAGTATTGCTAAGCAAATTACGTTCTAAAGAAATTTAATGAAATCTTTCCCCATGTCCAGTTATTCCAACATTTCTTTTCTCAAATTATCACCTTTGCTTTGGTAAGACTCTGAATGTTACTTAACCACAATAGTTACCTTTTAGAAATAATTGACTGTAAAAAGCCATTCATGGAGCCAGACATCGCTACTACGATCAATTCAAGTGCCACGATAACCATCAGCAGGATTGTGAAATGGTGGTGTTTGACATAAACAGTGTTGGGTTAGAAAAACCCGTTGGTGAAGCACAGTGAAATGTTAGTTGGTGTCCATGTAACACCAGGTTCTCGCCATGATAGATTGTGGCTCGTTACACCAAGACCAGTTTATGAACCTTTTACCTGGAGTAAAAAAAAAGTCTGCATTATTATCTGAGATTCTTGGGGGGAAATATAAATACAACAAGCTCACTAATTAGTATGTTTACATTATCTGACACAAGCGGTCTCCTGAAAAGAATAAGGAGACCACTCGAGCAAAACTGTCTTGTCACTTTGTTTGACCTAGACTTGAGAGGCTCCAAGAGTCTGGAGAAACTCTCAAGCATCTGCAACTCTTCTCTGTTCTCTTCCAGCTACCAAGGTAATGGCAGCCACTCCCAGAAACTCCACATTGCCTGGAGTGAGAGATCAGGGTTGGGGGTTTGCAGATGAGGGGGTTGGGGATGTGTTCTGAGTAAAAACAGAGATGCAGATGTGACCATTTATAATGTGGCAATAGTATGTGTTGGAGTTTTTAAAAAGGTAAAGAGGCAGGAACAAGCATTAGAATTGTGAAAATCCCACAAACACCTAAACATTTCAACACTTTACAATATCTAACTGAGGGTAGGATAATGCAGGCCTGGGGAAGCCTCAAAGGTGATGTTGGCATTGCTCAATCCTCATGGACTCCTCAGAGTTCTGCATAAGGGAAACTTGAAAGAGGAAGTAGAAGCCCATATATCCTCATATTTCAGTTTTCGAGCACAGAAAAAACAAAGGTTTCCATCATGCACAAGTTTTGTCAGCTATGATATATTGTAAAACAAATTTGAATGACGTGTTCTTAGAAAAAATTCTGAAAACGTTGACATTCGTTGTCATGCACATGAAATACTTCTGAAATGGAAAACATTCTGAATGCTGATTGATTCGATTTTTTTTTTTTTTTTCAGTGGTATCAAAAAGTTCAGAAGAATAAAATATGTCCAGCTTTGAATGCATCCTCTTTTTGTATTTCATACACTGTGTGTAATTTATGCATCAATCCAAATAGCTTTTTTTGACAGCGGTGTAGTGTAGGGCTAAAAATACAGAAAGGACCCATTTGTTTAAGAGGGTGTAAAGACTGTTGGTATTTGCATCTTTGAACATTGTTTGACAATCACAATTGAAAGGAGAACATTAGATTCCAAGACACTGTAATTTTAAAACATTGGCTGTTAAATTTCCGCAATGAAATCGGGGTGTTTGGGTCCCTTTAGGGCTTCCTCTCATAGGCAACAGCTGTTTGGCTCGTCTCCATATCAGGTTTCATGGTGGGACCCCTCAGGCCATAAATGCAAACGTTCTTAATAGTTTTCCTTTGAGGACTCTTACCTGCAGCAACCAGCAACTCTTTTAGACATGCATAATTTAGCTTTAACATGAGGTGGTGAAACATTCCTTGATTTGTGGGAGCCATTTTTCACTTTTTCTGAGGACATTTAGACTATTAAGGCTTTTAATAAAGGGTTTAAAAGGCAGTGAGACAAGTTTTGCAAGATGTGAAAAATATTTCTCAAAAGGAAAACAGGCATTTAGAATTACTGTGCAGATGATTCATGGGGACAAGAAAAAGGTGATCAACCCTCCATCCATCCACTTTCTGTGCCGGTTATTTTTGATAGGTGGTGGAGGTTCTGGAGTCTATCCCAGTCACTGGGTGAGAGGGTGT